CAAGTACAGCGTGGATAATTAACTTCCCGAAGTTCGAGGACCAGCATGTACAAGAGGTTTCTAGCTAGCGGAATTTCGAGTGATCTTATTGTAGCAAGAAACACTGTAAAAACACACGATCGCACGGGGCCCCCCAGTGCGCGTCACCAATGACTGCAATTTGCATGCAGGCAAAAACGCATAAAAACTGTATTAGCATAAAGAAGCGCAGGAACAGATGCTCCGGCCCAGTAAGACTTGAGCTTACAATTGTGGGACCGTCAAGAAAGGCCTCTCCATGCTAACACGTGCACCAGAATTCATACTCGGCTGAGACTAAATATCATGATCAATAAGCTCGGCTATAAAAGATGACACTGAATTTCTGGCTAAAATAGAATTGATGTTGGTTTCGAAATCTCTGCGTTTTCGCCAACACTGAGCCTAAATGCAGTTGCGCTCAGTTGAAGTATTTGTTTTCTCCGGCAATAATTTAGCACCTCCCGACTGAGTACAAAGCAAAGTTGAAATTTTGCATTCTTTAAGGCCGGAATTTGAAATGCTTCTTTCCCTCATTGGTATAAAATATCCTCGTACAGTTTCAGCTTCCCATTTCGACTGGTTGATGAAATCGTTTCTCATTACAAATACCTTTGATAACCCGGAACGTGCGATACACATGCCAAAGCTCACTTTATGCTTACATGCCCAAGTATGGAAAACAAACATCCTCATAAAGTGAAAGCGCTCTAATTCCGGAGTTGGCGCTTTGTCAGCAATGGTGAAATATCAACTTTGACATGTCCGAGGCCTGTGTTAAAACCGTATTTTAAACCTTTAGCTCACATACGGCAAAGAATATTCCTGCAAAATTTTAGCCTTTTACTTCCTCTCGTTCTCGAAATCGCTTTCTCGCTAAAAAATCTGCAAAAATTTTTTTAAGCGTCCGTGCTGAGTCCCAGGTGTATGTGAACGTTGATTTTAAGCTGTTTGGTCGGTGCATAAACTGAGAACGTCAATACCAAACTCCAGTCAACTTCTTTCTGCGGTTGATGAGCTTAAAATGAGTGGCAAAATCTGAGCACACAGTCACATACAGCTCCATCCAGTTGCATGCGGTAAATTTCACTTACTGCTAGTAATTAAAAAACTATTTATGTCTGGGTGATTATTACTGATTTGGATTTGCCATATTCGCCTAAAGTTCGTTCTATAATTTTGCGTGCCTCGTCGACCTCATAGTTCTCCTTACACACAAGTAAACAAGCAAAAAACTGAAGGTCAGCACTGCATGTCGCGGCTTTCAACTAAAGCAGTTACATATAATCTACTGTAAACAGAATTTTAGAAATTGAAGAATTTCATGCTGAAATCTTATCCGAAAAGCCTCAGTTTACATTCACAACCTGAAAATGTCGCCCCTTCGAAAAAGCCTCATTTTTCTTAAATTTCACAATTGTGAAGTGTCGAATTCTTGTCAATTAGGAGGATTATTTATTCAGATTTTCAAGCCAGCGGCTCAAACAAATAAACACTAACAACATGGAGGGCAAAAGGTCACGCGCATCAACAATAGGGAAAACTTTCTGGGTTACCAACTCATGAAATTTTGAACAATTTCATTGATGCTAACGACACCATCACTTCCGGACGATCTAAATGAAACAAGCAGCAAGCCTTCATTTGGCCCATCAATTAACTGTCCTAAAAAAAATCAGCTTAATTTCCGAGAAAACTCCCTTGGAAATAACTCATTTTTCGGCACTAATGTATGCAACGCTAGATGTGTGACATACGAACATACTGATGTTCCAAGAAAGTAATTCAATCTGGAAGCCAATTTAAAATGATCAAAAATCAAAGTTAAATATTTTTTCAACAAAATCTGTCCGGCACCCAAGATTCAGCGAAGGCTGTTCAGATGGGCCGCAAAATTCCCTAGTGCCAACA